TTTGCTTAAGCGTTCTAAGTGGATACTGCTTTAAAGTGTTTTGAAATGATAGTTTAGAAACAATTCTTTTTTTCTCCTTGAAAATACAATGACATTTATGACTTACTAAGAGAATGTAAGCTGTTCAGTGTCAATACTTGATTTTAAATTTGCATATACACTGTGTATTTTTGTTGTACAAATATGTACATCTGGCATACTTGTCATAATACTGCTTTACACTTAAAGTAACGGACTTTCATTCTAAACTTGTAATTCAAAGGAATATAATACAACTATCTAAATTAGTTTCTAATGAGAATATTTAGTCAATAGTTACTAAGACACTGACTTTTGAGTATCTGTTACATTCATACAACTCATTACTTCTGTTTTAAGTATTATTGCTAAAAATATAAGTTCTTTGAATGTAATTATGGCTATTGAACTCAGCTGGGTTTATCATTTTGGCTCCACTTTCATTAGCTTTAGAATCATAGGCAAATGACTTGCTTTTATTTCTTTTCTCTTTCCTTCTCTCTTTCTTTCTTTTTTCTCTCTTTCTTCTCTCTCTCTTTCTTTTTATTGTTAGAGGGCACAGGCACGCACAGGAGAGAGGGAGAGACAAAGAAGTCATGATCCAGTGGGGCCTGTGGTCACAGTGCAAGCCTTTTTTTTTAGGATCCTGACTAGGGAGCAAACACCTGGTGTGTTTTTCAGGTTGTTGGAGTTGCAACTCAAGCCCTGGTTGGCCATATGAGACTTGACTTCCTCTGTGTATTGCTTAATTGCTGCACTGTGAGACCAACTCATTTTCTTACCCTTAACAATGAATCTAACTTCTCTTATTGTTACCATTTAGGATGTTTCCTACCATTAAGCGTTCATTTCCAAAATAACTAACTCTCCACGCCCCAGAGTTTTAACTGCCAGAGGGCATGAACATTCACCAGAGAAGGAGAGAGTTAGTAAGCACTCCAATGGGTTGTGGTGTGGATGCAATTCTTTCTCCATTTCTACATGGACACATTCCTTCTCCATTTCTGTATATGCATCCAGATGTCTCTCTCAAGCCACCAGAGCTGGGATTCAAACTGTGGTCAACTGTGTGGGATCTGGCTTCCTTAACCACTATGCTATAGGGCTGACTCCAAAATAAAATCACTTAAAAAAATTTTTTTTGAAGATTTTTGCCATAAGGTGTGTGCACTTACCAGATAGTAACAGAGAGAGAGAAGAAAAGGAAAATGATTTGGGACACACACACACACACACATGTCTGACATGATTTTCAAGCCTCTGGGCCTAGGACTCAAAACCCATAATCACCCTTGTGGGAGTCCAGCACCTTAACCACCATGCCACCTGCTGGCCCCATAAAATAACTCTTAAAGGTAGTTAGTACAACATTTGATATTCATTAGGCATATAAGGTGTATTGATAATAAGTTCATTTCAGCCTGAAATAATTATGACTTGAGTCTATTTATACCCAACATTTGGTAAGAGTCATTAGGAATCAAAAGTAAAAACTCTTGGAACCAGCAGTTAGTGTAATGGCTATGTCGCTGGACTCCCATGTAGTCGACCGCGGTTCAAGTCCTGGACCCAGTGACTTAAACTCATGCCTGGCGCACGTGCATGCATGCCCAAGATCCCAAGAGGAGAAGAGAGGAGAAGGGATTGAGGCGTGGCCATGCCCCCTGTGGGGTGATTTCTCACTTTCTGTCTCTCTGTCTCTCTGTCTTTTTGGCCAGCGCACATGCCCTATGGCAAAAACCTCTCCAAAAAAAAAAAAAAGTAAGAATTCTTAAACCTTCATGGAACTCACAGGTGGAAAGAAAGGACTTACATAGAATGAAGTAGTAATTCAAAGTAGACACAATGCATTTTAAGGCCTGTAACATTGTGTCTGTAATGTAGTAAAATCTGTGTTAGCCACTGCTATTTGTTACTTTCTAATTTCTATATGTAATTGAAAATAAATGGAAATTTAGGTGAAAAGGTAAAGTAGAACATTACAAATTAATTAATCACTTTCTCCTTTTAAAAAACATTTTGCTAGAGATCATGCATGCGTACAGTCAGCCATGTGAGATCCAATCACTTCCTTTTAAAATTGAACACTGGATTTAGTGCATGTGTGAGTGTGTGTGTGTGCACGCATGTGTGCATGTTTAAAGGAAACAACACTATTGAACCAGTGAATTCACATCCATTTTTAGTCTCTGTGGATAGAGAGACCCTGGTGGTCAAATGAATAATTTGGTGGTGAAATGAAAATTAAGAGCAGTATATTAGCTCTAGGACACAGAATATGCACATATGTGTGAATGCTTACATATGTGCAATTTTCATAACTGAAATAGAAACCAAGTTTGTTAAGTTTGATCTTTTCCTTTTTGCAGTGTCTTAGTGTTTCAAGTTATAGGTGTACTTAAAAGAGATGGAAATGGGATCTGGAGAGAATGCTGGGAAAATTTGAAATGAGTGGGATTTGGGCTGTTGGTACTCATAGGTGATGTATATCTACTGTTGCCCAGAAATATTGTGTTAGAGTTTTGGCTCTGTCTGTCTGGATTTAAGTTGTGACTTTTCCACTTTCTAGCCAGGCAGTGTTTAAAAAGGATAGTTTATCTCTTTGAGTAATTTTTCTTATCTATAAAGTCAGGTTAATTAACATGCCTACTTCCTAGGGTGCAATGATGATTGACATATATATATATATTGTACATGAAGCGTTTAGTGCAATGGCCCCTGGAGTATTAGCTGATTTTATTGTTAATTGGACCATATTTAGTAATAGCTATCAGAATCTAATAATTGTTTCTAAAATTGACCAGTTTTTATAATTCTTGAGTAACTTGCCAACTATGCCCTTAGCAAACTAACACTGAGGAAGAATTTCTTATTTCAATTATATAGTGCTAGTGGTTTGAATAATCTACTAATCCTTATAGAAAGAGTATAATCTATAAACCTTACAGAAGGTTTGTCACAGAATTCAGAAATGAAGTATCTTCCTGAGCCATTGAAAATAAATTAAATACCATGTTAATTTGTTTTTATCATTTGCTATTTGATTAGTTATTCTCACATGATACTTTTTTTAAATTGAAGTGTGTTTAAAAGCAAAACAAAAGTCATTTGAGAAAATAGAAATGAAAAAGATAGTTCTTTTTTTTTTTGCCTCTTGAAAATACCATGCTAACTTTACTAAAGAGATTCTCTGCTTTGAAATGTCAGTACTTGATGAGATGATAAAGAATGCAGTTAAAATATTGAAATTTTAAAAGATAAATATTTTGAGAGATTTTTGCTATTGGGTGCATGCATTTGCCAGAAAGACAGAAAGAGACAGAAAGCAAGAAATCACACCCCAGGGGGTTGGCCACTCCGCAATCCCCTCTCCGTTCTCCTCTCGGGATCTTAGGAATGTATGCACATGCACCCGGCATGAGTTTAAGCCACTGGGTCCGGGACTCAGACTGTGGTCAATTATATGGGAATCCAGCAACATAGTCATTATGCTATCTGCTGGCGCCTAAAAGAAACTATTTTAACTATTAATAATTTTAAATAATAATACATTTATTTTGGTTGACAGTGAAAAGAAATGCTGTTTTCCAGTTGATAAGGTAGAGAGTAGAATGGTGGTTACCAGATTCTGGCAGAGGAAAGGGAAATGTTAATAAAAGGGTACAAACTTTCAGTTACACAGGAGTAAGTTCTCTTCATTTATTGCACTGTATGTAACAATAGTTAATAATAATGTATTATATAGTGCAAAATGCTTAAAAATGGATTTTTTTTTACCACAAAGAAATGCCAAGTCTATGAGGTGAATGTTAATTAGCCTGAATTAATCATTCTACAAGGTATACGTGTATCAATATCATTGTACTCCATAAATATATACAATTATTTGTCAATTAAAAATAAAACAAATAATTTGTGTCCGCAGGTAGCATGGAGATTAAAGTGACTAGATCCCATGTGGCACAGTTTGAATACTGGATCTGGTAGCCTGAAGATCATGCTGGGCATGTGCGTGTGTGCATGTGTGTGTGTGTTTGTGTGTGCACATGTGTGCATACCCAGAATCCCCAGAGGAAAATGGAGAAGGAATTTTACAGCATGGCCATCCTCCTTTGGAGGATTTCTCACATTCTTTCAAATCTCCCTCTGTTTCTTTCTGTATCTCTAGCTAGCACACACACCCTGTTGCAATTTTTTTAAAAAGGAAACTAGAAAAAAATGCTTTTTTAATTTTGAAGTTTTTGCTGTACGATATGTGTGCTTGGGGGAGGGGGTTCTGTGAGCGCAGAGGGATAGAGGAGAAAGTCAGATATCCCTCCTGCCCAGGGGGATAGCCATGCTGTCATCCTTTTTCCATTCTCTTAAGATTTTGGGCACGCACACACAAGCACTGGGTGTGCTTTTCAAACCACAAGGTCTGGGACTCGAACCACAACCATGTGGGACTCAGCTGCTTTAACCACCATGCTGCCTGTTGGTCCTGTTTTTTATCTCTTCATAGTAAGTATTTCAGACTAAAAAAAGGGTCTGTTTGGAATTATTGCTTCAAAAGTATTTCAAATTGTATTATTTTAATTGTTGAGCCACATGTATGATTAACATGGTAAAAACTATAGTTCTTTAAGGTACATGATTATAAAAATCTTATAATTCAAAAGATAGAATGTTTACTTTTTTTTTTTAATAATTATAGCCAGTACTACTACTGGTGGTTACTGTGAGCTAGATAGTTTACAAAGCTTTTAAAATACATTACTTTACTTTCTAAATATTACCCATTTTGTTTATAGCCATTTCAAATAATCTAAGTTCTGTTCCTTGTATAGTAACCATTAGTATCTTCATTTACAGATTACATTTGAATGTTATATGACATAATTGATTACAAAATGTCTCCAATTTGGGACATTTGTGTTTTCTTTTTCCCAGAGTGTAAGAACTTTGGGTACTTTATTGACTGATACTTGTTTCCTTTGTTGCAGAAGTAGAAGAATAAATGGGTCCGGTAATTGGAATGACTCCAGATAAGAGAGCTGAAACCCCAGGAGCTGAAAAGTTTGCAGGATTAAGCCAGGTTTACAAAATGGGAAGCTTGCCTGAAGCTGTTGATGCTGCCAGGCCCAAGGCCACTCTAGTGGACAGTGAGTCAGCAGATGATGAACTCACAAACCTGAACTGGCTTCATGAAAGTACTAATCTTCTTACAAACTTCAGCCTCGGAAGTGAGGGTCTTCCAATTGTTAGTCCTTTGTATGATATAGAGGGAGATGATGTGCCATCCTTTGGATCATCTTGCTACCAGAAATCAGAGAAAAAATCAGCAACCTCAAAGCCCCCATACTCCTTTAGTCTTCTCATTTATATGGCTATTGAACACTCTCCAAATAAATGTTTGCCTGTCAAAGAAATTTATAGCTGGATTCTGGACCACTTCCCGTATTTTGCTACCGCACCAACAGGCTGGAAGAATTCTGTTCGACATAACCTGTCCCTGAATAAATGTTTTCAGAAAGTGGAAAGAAGCCATGGCAAGGTCAGTGTTTATGAACATTGCTATATTTGGTGAAGTTGGGGAAGCTAGCATGGAACCCTTAAAATATAGAGAAATCAAGAGAGACAAAAAGTTGTTACATCAGGGGCCAGCAGTTGGTGTAATGGTTCTGCTGCTGGACTCCCATGTAGTAGATTGCAGTTCGAGTCCCAGACCTGGTGGCTTAAAGCTCATGCCAGGCACGTGTGCGTGAGTGAGTGCCCAAGATCCCGAGAGGAGAATGGGGGAGAAGGGATTGTGGCGTGGCCATCCCCCCTGGGGGGTGATTTCTCGCTTTCTGTCTCTCTGTCTCTCTCTGTCTGTCTGGCGAGCACATGCGCCCTATAGTAAAAACCTCTCCAAAAAAAAAGAAAAAGAGAGAATGGAGGACGAGGAGGGATTGTGGTGTGGCCATACCCCCTGGGAGGTGATTTCTCACTTTCTGTCTCTGTTTTTCTGACACACTCCCTATAGCAAAAAAAACCCTCCCTCCCCACCCCCCAAAAAAGTAGTTACATCTTATTACTTCAGTTTAAGCTTAATTATATCAGTTCATTTGCTTTCATTTGTGGGGATATTTTTAAATTTTTTAACTATACAAATCTACCAGAATTATATTTAGTTGCTGTAGGTACATAGACTAGTTTTTTTTCTTTCCTTTTTAATTGCCTGAAGCCGTGTGTGCTTGCTAGAGAGAGATTGAGAGAGAGAGAGAGAAAAAGCACCCTCCAGTGGGCTGTGGTTATGCTGCAGTCTTTTCTTCTGTTCCATCAGGATTTGGGTCATACATACACACACATGTGGCATGGTGTTTAAGCCACCAGGATCAGGATTTGAACCACGGTTGACCACGTGGGATCCAGCTTCCCATGCACAATGCTTAACCACTGCACCATGGTGCCAGCCCTGTGATGTGATTCAGTTTATGTCTCCTATTGGTTCATTAACTGTTCCTGTTTTATTTAAGTTTTAGTGGTTGTTACACATTTTTATTATATGTCTTTATTGTGGTCTCCCTTCAAATAATATTATACTGTTTCATTTGTTAATTGACTCTTTACAGAAAAAGCTGCTTAACTCCTATATGCCCTGTTTTAATCAATTCCTCTTGCCTGGAGAATTATATTTAAGATTTTTTGTAGTTAGACTGTTTGCTATTATCTTACCTCTTGGTTTCTCTGTTCCTCCCTGCACTCTTTGTTTAATTAATGGTTTGAATAATTTCTGTTGATCTTTCTGCAGATTCATCCCTTCCTCCATTCTGTTAATAACTCTGATGAAATACTCCATATTTTGCATTTGTAGAATTTTTTAAAGAATTATTTTATTCAGCTTTATTCATTACTATTTTTTAATTTGACCAGAGAAAAAGAGAGAGAGAGAGAGGAAGTGAGAGAGCAAGCTGCCAGGCAAACTACAATCAGCCATGTGGGAGTCCATTGCCCTTAATCACCACACCACTTGCTGGCCTCCATTTCTAGAATTTTGATTTGCCTTTTCAAAAGTAATTTTCATCTCTGTTAAACTTTTATACTAGAACCATAGACAAATTAATTATAGTTATAATGTTTATCTGATGCCTTCAAGTTCATCTCTGAGTCTGACTTTGTTGACTGTTTTGTCTCTTGTTTTTGTGTGGGTTTTACAATTTTGGATGGACTATCAGACACTTGTAAAAAATGGCAGAGATTGAGGTAAATAATATTTCCACCGGGACCAGCAGATGGCATAATGGTTGTTACATCACTGGATTCCCACGTAGTCCACTGCAATTCAAGTCCTGGAGCCAGTGGCTTAGAAATCACGCCGGGTGCGTGTGCATGCGTGCCTAAGATCCCGAGAAGAGAATGGAGGAGAAGGGACTGTGGCATAGTCATCCCCTCTGGGGGGGGATTTCTCGCTTTCTGTCTCTCTGTCTCTGTCTTTTCAGTGAGCACACTCACTCTGTAGCAAAAATATCTCTCAATAGTAATAATTATAATAGTCTTTTCACCTAAGAATAAATATGCTTCCACTTTTGTCACATTGTTAATGTGAAGAGGAATTGGTCAGTCCAGTTAATAATTGAGCAGGGTTTGGGTTTTATAGTTGCCATAGTTACCTCAGTGTACTGATTCCTAAAGAGATGAAGGACTACTGACACTTTGTGCTTAGTGTGAGGCCTGGAGTCTCAAGTGATTTTTTTTTTTTTCTTTTTTTTGGGAGAGGTTTTTTGCTATAGGGCGCGTGTGCTTGCCAGACAGACTGAAAGAGACAGAGAGACAGAAAGCAAGAAATCACCCCCAGAGGGGATGGCCACACTGCAATCTCCTCTCCTCCATTCTCCTCTCAGGATCTTGGCATGCACATACACGTGCCTGGGGTGAGCTTTAAGCCACCAGGTCCGGGATGCGAATCACAGTCGACTACATGGGAGTCTAACGACATAGCCATTACGCTAACTGCTGGTCCATCAGGTGATTTTTTTCT